TTCCCCTGTACTGCTCCAAATGGGGATACATTGCGACAGTGTAGACTGACAGTGAGCAAGAATGAGTCAATTATGGCAATAAAGACGGATTTTGAAGAGTGGGGGGCTCTCACATTCATGAGAGATTTATGCGCTGTTGGGTCTGTGCCTGCCCATGGTCCATTGCCAGTCCCAGTAACACACCTTGCAATCTTCAGCTGCCTAGACTGCAGTTCTCTAAATGCATCCTAGCCTGAAGCCCTCTAAGGCAAAAAAGGAGGCACACTGACATCTGGTGTAAAAGATTGAAACATGCACTCCAAAAACTGCATTGTAAGATGCAGAAATGGCTTTGAACTGCAGGAGGGAGAAAGGGCACTGGCAAATAATCCCAGTCAGGGCTTCTGCTTGGGCAGCAAGCTGTGTACAGAGAAAAATGGGTGGAAAAGCTATGCCTGATGTAACATCACCTCATCACCTCCTGTATTTTAAAAATAAACACCTAGAAGCAGTTTACCCTGTGTCCAGGAGAAATTGTAGATTCATTTTCAGTGCTATTTTTCGCAGATATTTTTATTGTGATAAAAATATTTAATCACACTGCTGATTAGATTACTTGTTCCTCTGTTTGGCTCAGTGATTGGTCTTTTAACTATGCTTTTGTCAAGTGTGTTGCACGTTTCTTGCCTGTAACCAGAATGGAGCATCTCAGTCTGAACCCTTTGGGTCTCCAGCGTAAGCCAGATGGGCACGGATCAGGTATAAATTAACGTACTCATAAACAGCTGTTGAGGTCTCCCATGGGGCAGAAGCAGAAGCGCGCAGGGGCTTGCTGTGCCATGTCCTGTTCTAACCACAAAACCCGAGCAAATGAGAGCCTGTGCGGACCTTTGACACGTTCTGAAACACACATTTTTTGCTGCTCTGGGTTCTGTCTCCAGCAGTGGGGATCCCCATCCAGACCAGGACAGGCGTGTGGGCAGGCATACGCCTGGTGCTCACTCCCTCAAAGCCAGCAAGGTCCATGCAGGGGCAGAATCCCTGGCTCCAGCAGTGCTTGGAGTAAATTTCCAAACAGCCTAAACCTGTTTTACAGTTACACAAATTTCTGACATCCTCAGCATAAGAATTCACAGCTTGACTGTGCAGCCTGGAAAGAATTACCACCTTCAGCTCATTTTTTTGGTGAATTTAAGTGCCTCTAGCAGGAGGGATTTGTGAAGAAAAGAGCTTTCCTGGCTTGTTTCAACTGGTGAGGGAGGGGGACCCACAACTGCAGGGTACAAAAAATAAAAGGATAAATACAGGTAGGTACTCT